GATAATACCTACATCCAAGGTGATGAAGATTGAGTTAATGTAAAAATGGCAAAATAGCCCAGCCGGTGTGCTCAGTGGTCGAGTGTGGCGCTATGAACCAGGTGATCATGGGAACCTGATCAGAGCACACGCTGGGGTTGTAGGCTTGAGCCCACACATGCCCCGCAGGGGGCCTGCAGGAGGCAGCCGATCAATTGATGTTGCTATCATTGTTTCTCATCATTAATGTTTCGATCTCTTCCTCCCTCTCCCTTTCTCTCTGAAATCAATAAAAATATATTTTACAAAATGGCAAAATATGGCACCCAGCATTTAAAATTGGAGTCTGATAAATGTTAGTTTCCTTTTCCTCTTGGCTGGTGGTATTTTTATTTATTTATTTTTATGGGAAAAGTTCATGAAGTGAGACATCTATATACATAGAATCTTCCATAGACTCTTAGGACATATTAAAATTCATACTAACTTGTCACTTTTTAAAAACATAAAAGCAGTTTTTTGGGGATGCCTACTTTTAAAGAGAAATGAAAGTGAAAAAGATTTTTAAAACACTTTTTAAGGACCCCAGGCCTTTTTTAGAGTAAGGAGCTTGGAGTTGATATTTAGGTTTATAGTAGTATGGAGTCTTAAGGATGGAGATAGGACATGCTTTTGCTTTCCAAGTTGTCCAAAAAAGGCATTTAAGGGAGGACTGTGGAATGGATGATGATATAAAAATGTATAGGGAGATTAATATTGCTGTTTTATAAAGCAGTATTTAATTGTTGAGGATTTTATAGGTTTAAGCTTGCCTTTCAGTTTACCAGATGAGCCAAGTGTAATTCGTATCAAAAGCAGTGGGTTTTACCAGCAGTGCATGTCAGAGTCCTCATGGGAGCAAGTCCTCCCGCACTGAGCAGGGCCCTCTCTCCATGGAGCCCGCCTGCTTCCGTTTAGTAGCCGGAATCTGAAACTGCCTGTTCTAAGGTGCCTGACTGGGGACCCCTGTAGGGCATTTTTGAGGCATGGGGCTAGGTTTCTTAACCTGTAAATTGGAATGCACTGCCTTGATATTTTATCAAATTGTTTTAAATATAGGATACTGGACCAGGCATGTCTTTCAAGAAGAAGTGAACTGTTAAAGATGTGTCATGGTGGGCATTTTGAATTGTCCACAGTATAGTTGTGAATCATAAATTTTATATTGATGTAAATTTAATAGAATTTGTTTGTGAAAAAGAATAGGTTCCTGCCGAAACCGGTTTGGCTCAGTGGATAGAGCATCGGCCTGCGGACTGAGGGGTCCCAGGTTCGATTCCGGTCAAGGGCATGTACCTGGGTTGCAGGCACATCCCCAGTGGGAGATGTGCAGGAGGCAGCTGATTGATGTTTCTCTCCCATCGATGTTTCTAACTATCTATCTCTCTCCCTTCCTCTCTGTAAAAAATCAATAAAATATATTTAAAAAAAAAAAAGAATAGGTTCCGAATGTGACCCAGTTACCTCTCAGGTGCTGTGATGGATATTAGTTTCATGTTTTAATGTATACAGATTTTGATATTATTATTGTGAAGAAAAGGATTGCAGAATATTTAAAATTGCCAGGTCCATTTTAAGCAAATAGGTGCTTTTTTTTTTTTTAATGTTTTTATTGATTTTTAGAGAGCGGAAGGGAGAGGGATAGAGAGATAGAAACATCAATGAGAGAGAGGAACATCATTGATTGGCTGCCTCCCACACTCCTCCACCAGGGATCCAGCCGCAACCCTGCAACCTGGGCTTGTGCCCTGACTGAGAATCTGACTGGGAATGGAACCAACGACCTCTTGGTTCCTGGGTGGATGCTGAGCCACCCAGCTGTTTTTTTTTTTTTTTTTTTTTTTAATTCTCATTTGAGGATATTTTTCCATTGATTTTTAGAGAGAGTAGAAGGGAGCGGGGAGACACAGAGAGAGAAACATGGAGACATCGATTGGTTGCCTCCTGCACATACCCCAACCAGGGCCAGGGATCGAGCCTGCAATCTTCGTATGGGCCCTTGACAGGAATTGAACCCGGGACCCTTCAGTCCGAGGGCCAGTGCTCTATCCACTGAGCCCGGCCAGATCGGGTGATGCTTTCATTTTTTCTTTATAAAACTACCTTTTTATATCAGAAGATTAGAACTTTTTTTAAAAAAAAGGTACCCCTGTATCTTACTGTGCCTACTGCTCGGAATCAGCCACCAGTGGTACCAAATTCGAATACTGAAGAATGACATAGGCTCTAAAGATAAGCATTTGTAAGCTGTAGAGGTTTACATTAAATAAAAACAAAATGGGATTTCTCAACTTGGGTGAGTGCTTACCAAATAATGTTACATTCTAGGAAGTAAGGCACATGAAATCACTGAGATGCTTTTGGTAGTTCATTTACATTTTAACTTCCAAATGAATTTTTCCCAATTAAAAAATGAAAATCAGATGGGTCTGTATTTTTAGTTATCGCTAGTATATTTTAATATCATTTGAGTAATGCCACACATTTTAATGATTTTATCTTTTGAATAAAATATACATGTTTAAGTTTTATAATTCGCCACTTTTTAATTTTGCACAGGGAATTAATTCTTTTTTGGCCTACTTACATATGTTAGTTAATACCTGAAGCACCATAGGGTTATAGAATTTTAGAGTTGAACCAAACTGTCTTATTTATTGTTGCATAACAAACTATGCCAGAAATTAAGGGCTTAAAACATTTATTACCTCAGAAATCTGGGTACAGCTTATCTGGGTGCCTGTGGCCCAGGTCTCTTATGAGCTACAGGTAAGCCGTCATTGGGGCTGTAGTTTCAGCTGAAAGCTCGACTGGGGGAAGATTTGCTTCCAAGCTGGTTCCTGTGGCTCTTGGCAGGATTCACTTCCCAGGAGGGAACTGGGCGGAAGGCCTCAGTTTCTTTAGGGCTGGTGGCCTCCCTCAGTCCTTTGCCAGGTGGGCCTCTCCACTGGGCAGCTCGCATTGTGAGCTGGCTCCCTTCTGAGCAGACAGGTGAGAGACACAGAGCAGCTATATGTCGTTATAACTGCTGTTGTCCAGTTGTTAGAGGCTGCCAGCTACAAGGACTTTATTTTGTAAAGACTTAAAAAAAAAAGATATGAAAGAAAAAGAACCCAAAGATACACAAAGTGCTTAGTAATTTACCAAGGCTCACAAGGTCACCTCCTGAAGAGCTCGGACTCAATCTCAAATGCACGGCTGCTCAGGCCTTGGGCTGTTTCTATAACATATGATTCTCTTGTAAGCTATAAAATGCTGAGGTCACTATTGTAAGAAATAGATTGAAAACCTCCAAAGTCATTTAGAATTGACCCCGGTTTGTCATTTCAAAAAAATGATAGGCAAACGTACACACACATTTATAATAGGCGTGTGTGTATATATGTGTGTGAATATGATGTATCTGTGCGTATATGTGTTTCTCAAGAACCTTTGCTTCTGAGGGAAAGTTCAATATTAAAATTTTACAGCATAAAAGTTTATACACAAGTATAAATTATACAACTTTTGTATATAAAAACTTACTGCTTTTTAGGTAAATTTTTTTGGGGGGCTGTGTACATAATTTATTTTTTAAAAATATATTTTTATTGATTTCAGAGAGGAAAGGGGGAGAGAGATAGAAACATCAACGATGAGAGAGAATCATTGATCGGCTGCCTCCTGCAAGCCCCACACTGGGGATCGAGCCTGCAACCCGGGCATGTGCCCTGACTGGGAATCAAACCGTGACCTCCTGGTTCATAGGTTGACGCTCAACCACTGAGCCACGTTGGCCGGGCCATAATTTATTTTTTATGTAAACTTACCGTTAAAAGATCCCATGATTTATTTGTTTATAAGTTTGTGTTGTTGCCCTTCTTTGGTATCTATATTTTAAAGTTAAGTGTACAAGAAATTTGCCACATGAAAAGAAATCCCACCATGGTGAGGTCCGATCCAGAAGGAAACACATTTGAATGTAACACTGGGATGTGTCAGGATCGGTGATTTTCCTTTGGAAAATCTCATGAGAAAATTTTTTTTATTGTTGACACTCTTACCGATGTCCCCGTTTCCCCCATGTCTGCCTCCACCCAGCCCCCCCTCCCCCGGCCTTCGCCACTCTGCTGTCTGTGTCCATGGGTTATGTTTATATGCTCTTTGCCTAATCTCTTCACTTTCTTTCATCCAGTCCCTCCTCTCCCCCTCCCCTTTGACTTCTGTCAGTCCGTTTATGTGAAATTTTAATGTGCATGCTGTTTTTATAATGGTGATAATAAAACCACAAACAAAAGTCTCCAGGTAGGTAACCTTACTGTGTACTCTTTCTTGTGCCAAACTGAGAGAATACGTGTGTGTTGCATCTTTAGGCTTAATTTATCTTATAGGGGATGGGAACAAAGCCTCAACACCTTATTGGAGCAAGCGGAGGGGATATTAAATATTAATCTTAGTATATGTTAGAGATGGGGTAGTATATATTAAATATAAACTTTTAGATCATTTTAAGTTTCACTTTTGCTGGAATTGTCTTAGAACTCTAGAACCGGGGGAGGGGCGGTGGGGTGGGGAGGGGCACTTTATTCAGCCTAGATTTGCGCAGTCCAGAATGGTAGCCACTAGCCACATGTGCTTATGTAAATTTCAGTTAATATTAAAGAAAAGTAAAAATTTGCTTTCTTGGTTAAAAAAAAAAAAGACTGTACCCTTTTATGTAATGATGTTTACTTTGAATTTATATTAGTTCACACAAACACTCCATCCATGCTTTTGTTCCGGCCCTCCGGTCCAGTTTAAGAACCCATTGTGGCCCTCGAGTCAAAAAGTTTGCCCACCCCTGGGCTAGAGGCTACCGAACTGGGCGTTGCAGATAGAGAACATGTTTATCGTCCTAGACCTAGAGAGTTGTCCATTTTATATCTGATTTTGATCAGGGATGTGTGTTACAAGTGCTAATCCTTGGATTCACCAACTAAGCTCAACTTTATTTCTCCGTTTCCATTTTCCAGATTTTGGAGCCGTGAGGGATCCAGCAGTTGGGTCCATATTGCTTTAACATGCTTCAAATCAACCAGGTGAGTTTGTGTTGAGGCCTGTCATACGAATGTGGTGCTTGGGCCATATACCCCGTGGCACGTTTTTACCTGGCTTTTCTGTAACCATAACCTGACCACCGCTTCCTAGAGCAGTTACACGCTAGCTCTTCTTCGCAGGCGGCCGTGCAGGGCAGGCTGTTTGAGGATTACAGCGGTAATCCTGAGTGGTGATAACTTTCAGGAGCACTGAGCGGGCTTGGCAGGTTTGCTGGTTCCTTTTGATGTCGCGTCCCTCCAGGACGAGTTGGCGTGTTCAGAATGCTGACCATTGTGATCCGTCTTCCGTCGGTGGCAGTTCTGCGGACTGCAAGCACTTCTAGTGACAAATCTTGTGAAGTGGTCGTATCGGTGTGTTAAAAAAAGGTTCCTTTCTAGGGCACTGGAAAAGGCGAGAAGGAAGTGCTCTGCTAAATAAATGACAACTTAGCATGCCTTAGATTCACTGAAAGAAATAGTTTTCTTGGGTCTTGGCATTTCTCCAAGAACTTTATACCCTTAATCTTATCCTTTCTGAACAAATCGGGCATTGTATCGTAACTGTAGTATTAGAAAGCACTTTATTTTATTTCATGTTTGCAAATCCAGAGAGAAGTTTAGATGGCAAAAAATTATTGTATCGTAACTGTAGTATTAGAAAGCACTTTATTTCACGTTTGCAAATCAAGAGAGAAGTTTAGATGGCAAAAATTTTTTTTTCTTTTAAAAATATTTTTATTGGTTTCAGAGAGGAAGGGAAAGGGAGAGAGATAGAAACATCAATGATGAGAACCATTGATTGGCGGCCTCCTGCATGCCCCACAATGGGAATCAAGCCCGCAACCTGGGCATATGCTCTAACTGGGAATTGAATCATGATCTCGTGGTTCATAGGTCAATGCTCAACCACTGAGCCACACCAGCTGGGCTAGATGGCAAAATTCGATTGCAAAAGTAATTTTTTGTGTGTGATTTGAGGAAGTAATGCAGGTCTCCCTCCCCTCCCCCCACCCCACCTGCTTACCTTGCCCAGGACATGCCCCGTTCCTGTGCACCACACGCCGTCTCTAATGACTTCCAAGTTTACTCCTGGTCTCGACCTCTTCTCAGCTCCAGAGTCACATAGCAGTGACTGGCCTGATCTCTTAACTTGGATGTCTTTATACATCTCAGATTTAGCACGTGCCCAAGAAACAGTCTCACTGTTTCAGTTCTCCCAGGCTGTTTCAGTTCCTTCACGGGGCAGGGTCATTCCCACCGCAGGGACTCTGCGAGAGCACCTCTGCCTGACCTCGCTGTTCCCCTGCGCGCGGCCTCTCCCATCGGCCTAGTATTTGCTCTCCGGGCACCCTGCCTGCCCTTCTATTGAATGACATCCTGACATTTCCTTGACATTTAAATATGTCATTAGTTGTTTAATGTCTGTTTATTAGATATCCTGTAGCCAAATGCTCCCTGGAGCTAGTGACCTTGCTTGCTTACTCTTGTATCTCAGGTCCTAGTAGTTCTTGTTGGGGATAGTGTTCATCTATTTGCTGAGTGAGTGGATGAACGGTGCAAGGGTTGTGATGAAAGCGAGGGTATCTGCATTCTTTTTAACAGCAACCACATAATGGTGTTGTTCGTTCTGGGGCTAGATGACGCTTGCTTTACACAAATGCCATTAATGTAAAATCTCTCCCTTCTGCAAAGTTGTTCTTTGATTTTCTCCTGGCATTGGAAAATTTTCTCGTGCAATAAATACTGCTTTCATCCAAGCCATCACTGATAGTGGTTAAAGGCATTTCAGAGCTGCACTGTGCTTAGGCGGTGAATCCCTACTGCATGCGTTCACGGAGCTTCTGAGACATGGCGGCAAACTGTGCTGTCCGTGTGAAGTTGCCTCTAGACGACCATGTGGACACCTGCCCTTAATGCTAGGGGTCCGATTAGAATAATTTGTTTTATATTCTGCTGCACACAGATGGAATTGATCATTTTGTGCCAGTCAACATCACTGAAAAGTAGCGTTCATAGGTGAGTCCCACTCAGGATTTGCTAACTGTCCATGCTGCTGGTCATGTTGAGTCAGGCACGAGGAGTGGTTCCTAAGCGACCATCTGCATGGCCACAGCGGGTCCTTGGGTTTTGGCTAGAGATCGTCCCCACTGCCTGCGGCCGTGCGCGCTTTGCTTGTCGTAGACATGTATTGCGGACTCACTTCAGGAGCCTCTCTTGCTATCGACTAAGTGTTGTCCCCCCAAATGTTCCAGCCTGAAGGGAAGAGTTACCCTCATTTGGATTGCGGAAGCTATAGAGAAGACTTTCTCTTATTCTCTTATACTGGATTCTTCAACCTCTGAGTGATTTTATGTTTGCTCGTTTTCACGGTGACCGCTCTCCCTGCAGAGGAGGATTCCTGAGATAATGTAACAAAAGGCGATGGAGGCCGACCTTCCACTCATTGCTCGTTTTCACGGTGACCGCTCTCCCTGCAGAGGATTCCCGAGATAATGTAACAGAAGGCGATGGAGGCCGACCTTCCACTTGGAGCAGTGGAGGTTTTTATTATGTGATCTCAGCACTGTCTTTAGGATTAGGACTCAATTTTTATTTGGGAGGTCCTTTTGTTGTCTTAAAATGCCTGAAGAGTACTAACAAATCCTCCTGGGTGTGTTTCTGGTACTAATTAAAACCTAGGCTATTGAATACTAAGTTATTTGACTTTTTTTAAAAAAAAAATTAACCCTGCCTGACATTATTCTTATTAGGAATTTGGGAATGATCATGTTCTGTTAGAATAATGACACTTTTCCTTTAAATTTGTGCTCCTCAATTTGACTTTTGTCTGGAGTGTGTGTTGTGATCCATGTGCAACTCATGTAGAAAAGTTAAGTGGTACAAATAAGCAAAGAGAAAAAAAAATCACAAATAATTCCACTATTCTTTTACAGAGATTATCACTGCTAATATTTTGGGGTGTATACTTCTAGATATTTTTCTACGCAGGTATGTTTTTGTGTGAATATATGTTGTTTTAAAAAATATGTGTATACAGCACCTAATATTCTGAAGTGAGTTCATAATCATAGTTTGGAGGTACTAAAATTTATTTAGTCAAACCCTTATTGTTGGACAGATTGTATATTATAATTAGTGCCATGTAATTTTACATCTGTAGTCCTTGGTCCATTATTTTCTTGTAATTAAGTATTAGAAATAGAAATACTAGTCAAAGGGGTATGTAGATTTTAAAGATACTTAATGCAAAAATACTAAAAATACAAAATCTCATTTATTAAAAGTTTATTAGAATGCCTGTTTCCTTACATCCTTGACACATTTTCAATGTTGGCCAATTTGTCTGACAAAAAGTGTTACTTTAATTTGCATTCCTATGATTTGCATATATTGGTTCTTTTGGATTTGTCTTTTGTGAATTGCTTATTTGTGTCCACTGCTCTGTTTTTCTTTTTCTTTGTAAATAAAATTCTTTTGATTATACCCCCTTGAGAATATTGTGAGCTACTATTTATAATCATTGCCTTATATATTTCTTAATTTATTATTCAATAATTAACTAATGAAAACCTCTGTAGGAGTTTGGTATAGTTTTGGCCTTTCTCCCTGATGATTAATTGTAAGTCCCTGGGGGAGAGGAAACCCATCTTACCATGAAGTTGTAGCAAATATAAATGAAGAAGGCACATGTGCTGTGAAATAATATGTTAAATCGAGTGGCTGACGTGGGGCACATTTTTGGGGATTAGTTGGTGAGGCACACTTGACAGGGCGGCTGTCTGCAGGGTTGGGGAGTCTATATTAGGCAGCAGTGGCATCGGGAAAGCCCCGAGCAGGGGATTCAAAGAGGTCTGATTAAAAAGAAAAAATGCTAAAAGTTAAAATAAATAAAAGAGGTCTTGGTTCATAGGTTTTTTGTTTTTTTTAAAAAAATATATTTTATTGATTTTTTACAGAGAGGAAGGGAGAGAGATAGTTAGAAACATCGATGAGAGAGAAACATCGATCAGCTGCCTCCTGCACATCTCCTACTGGGGATGTGCCCGCAACCCAGGCACATGCCCTTGACCGGAATCGAACCTGGGACCCTTCAGTCTGCAGGCCGACGCTCTATCCACTGAGCCAAACCGGTTTCGGCTTGTTTTTGTTTTGTTTTTTTTAATGGTTTCTTTTAAAGAGGTTTGGTAGTAGGTGCTGGGAACATGGACTCTAAGAGGAAGCGCTCAGGCCTGATCGAGTGGAGTGGAGAGCAGGCAGGACGGAGCAGAATTTTAGTGCCCCCTGCAGGGTGGAGGGAGCCCGGGGTTACACTGGGAGAATAAAGTGGCACCAAGATGCACTGTAAAGTGTGTCTGCCCTTCAGGGCCTCAGGAAACACAGGCCTGGAGTGTAGAGCTAATGATTCCCATCTCACAGGATTGTGCTGAGGTGACAAAGGCAAATGCTTAGTGCTGGTCTTGGGACTATTGCTGCTGTGCTTGGTGTTAGTATGTTGTCACCGTGTGCATGTCGCTGTTGCTATTGCTGCCTGGCTCTGGAGACTGGGGGGAAAGGTGGACGTTCAGGTTGGTCTGTTTGGGGGAATGGAGCTTGACCCTTTCCTGAGACCAGTCAGCTGCTGCTCTCCTCCCCTTTCCTGCCGCAGGCACAGGAACTCTATTGTTTTCTCTTACAACCTGCTGCTACTCACTCTGAGTCATTTTTCTCTCCAAGTCTGGTTGTGGAGTAGGATCTACAGTCCGCCCATCTCTGTTGAAGCCACAGGAAGCAGCCCGCACTTAGGGGACTGAAAAATAGTCAACTTCTCTGAGAGTGTTAGCTGCCATGTTGGGAAGAGCCCAGTGGAGAGGCCCACGTGGCGAGGAACTGAGGCCTCCTGCCAACAGCTGACAAGGCGCTGAGGCCTGTGGCCTCAGTGTGTGACTGAGCCTTCTGTGGAGCAGATCTCCCACCCTTTCAGGCTCCCAGCCCTGGCCCACTGGCCCACTGACCCCTGACCCCCTGACCCCTGACTGCAACCTCACGAGAGATCCTGAGCCAGAACCACCCAGCTTAGGCTTCTCCTTGATTGCGGAACCTCAGAAACTGTCAGGGGAGGTTTGTTAGGCAGCGATAACACATACCCTTCCTTTACAAACAAGTAAATATGTGAACAGTGGCTTTTAGACGCTGAATGACAGGTGGCAGCAGCCTGTGATCCCTGAGAATGGAAGCAAATGGGAGCAGCCCTTCTGTTGCAGTTTATGGAGGGCCATGAGGCTGTTCATAGGCTGCAATGCAGGGAGGAGGGACCGGAGCAGAGCCCAGGCTTGAGGAGCTAAAACACAGGGAAGAGTTCGGGAAGACCAAGAATTGCAGGGCAGAGGACCAGAGAGCAGGGAGCTGTGTGGGACAGGCGGACGGAGTGTATATTGCAGTAGAGGCGTGCACGCCAGCGTGCGTGCATTCTGGAGATCTGCAGAGGGCTCCCCTTCAGTCTTTGGCTGAGTTTTGATCCGTAGATGGTGACAGGACCTAGGCAAAGCCAGGGAAAGAACTACTGGAAAACAGTAAGGAAACAATCTCCAGAGCTCACGGAATGCTGGGGATAGTTTGTGTCTCCACTGTCCAGAGTGTAAATACCTTGTGATATATGGGGCACTGGGGAGAGTCCTCAGGAGGCTCCAAGTAATCCCAAGTAACTTAATTGTACACAAGAACAAAGTCCGGCACTATTTAGAGGCATAAAACCCACGTCAGAACCCAACAATGTAAAATTCAGGCTTTTTGTCATCCAATCAAACACTAAAATGCTTGCCTCAGCTGTAATAAGGGACAGAACATCTAGGCAGAAGATCAGCAAGGAAACAGAGGACTTGAACAAAATATAAACCAATTAGACCTAGTAAATATGTACAAAACACCCAGCAAAGCAGAATACACATTTGCAGGTGAACATAAGACTCTCCACGAATAGACCATTTGTTGAGCCACAAACAAGTTTCAATACATTTTTTTGTTGTTAATTCTCACTGAGGATATTTTTCCATTGATTTTTAGAGGGAGTGGGGGGGAGCAGGAGAGAGAGAGACACATTGCTTGGTTGGCCTCCCGCACATGCCCCAACCAGCTCTGAGGACCGAGCGAGCCAGCAACCAAGGTACGTGCCCTTGACTGGAATCAAACCTTCAGTCTGCAGGCCGACGCTCTAACCACTGAGAAACTGGCTAGGGCAACCACTCTTAAATAACCAACAGATCAAAGAAGAAATCACAGGTGAAATTAGAGAATAATTAGAGACGAATGAAAATGAAAACACTATATACCATAACTTGTGAGATGCAGTGAAAGCAGCGGGAAATTTATAGCAGTAAACACATAAAGCAGCCATTTCAACCTTTTTCATCCCATGGCACCCATAAACTAATTCCTAAAATTCTGTGGCACACCAAAAAAATACATTTTTTGTTGATCTGACCAAAAAAGGGTATAATTTTGATTGATTTACAAAAATAAAAAATAATAGTAATTACCTACACTTTTTATTCCAAAGTGAATTTTTAAGCCTGGCTGGTGTTGCTCAGAGGTTGAGTGTCAACCTATGAACCAGGAGGTCATGGTTTGATTTCCGGTCAGGGCACATGCCTGGGTTACAGCTCGATCCCTAGTGGGGGTTGTGCAAGAGGCAGCCAATCAATGATTTTCTTTCATCATTGATGTTTCTATCTCTCCCTCTCTGGAAATCAATAAAAATATATTAAGAAAGATATCAACAGTTCTGGAAGTATACCAAACTAAATTCACAAGCACACTCATTGATTACAATTATAAAACGACCAAACGAAACAATAACAACAACAAACACAAACAAAGTGACTTTAAAAAAAATCTGCCCAGCCACGTGTAGCTCAGCGGTAGAGCGCCAACCTAGGAACCACGAGGTCACCAGTTTGATTCCCGGTCAGGGCATATGCCCAGGTTGTGGGCTTGATCCCAGTGGGGGGGCGTGCAGGAGGCAGCCAATCAATGATTCTCTCTCATCATTGATGTTTCTATCTCTCTCTCCCTCTCCCTTCCTCT